GTTTTTTTCGGTGTTCACTCTCTGTAATGTGCTTTGTGTAGTATAATAGGAGAGACTATGTGATGGCAGGGTTTACTGTTTTCAGGAGGATTCTTGAGAAGTCTTAGCAAGAATCCTCCTGAAAACAGTAAACCCTGCCATCACATAGTCTCTCCTGTTATACTACACAAAGCACATTACAGAGAGTGAACACCGAAAAAAACTGCCTCTTTCCAGTCTATATTTGTCCAGCCTATTTTTATGTTACCCAAGTAATAGCTTTTATATCCTTTTACTCATGTACGAATTATTTGCTCTTCCATATTGTATTATTTTTGTTACTACTACTACTACTACTACTACTACTACTACCACTAGTGAACATCTAAATGGTACCTCACTAGTATTGCACCTCACTCAGAGCCTTTATATACCCTCTGTGTCCGTGTATTGTTTGTAATGGCTTGATAAAGCTCCTGGAGAGCGAAACGTTGCCACAATAAATGTCACATTAGTTGCACTTGTGTCCTTTTACTTTACATATTGTCGGTAATTCTACCAACTTTATTACAGCAACAGTCTGGTTGACCAGGCAAGCACCAGACGAGCCTGGCTCATGGCCGGACTCCGATAGTAGTGAAACTCTCGAAACTCTTCAAAGGTACATCATCAACACCCATTTTCTAGGTAGACTCCCCATCCTCCAGCACATCATTAACCCACTGAGGGGAAAATATAACTAGTTATCGTTCCCACTACGTAGTTATCACGTATAGAACAGGGTTGCAGCACGCTTCTCGTGTATCCAAATTAACTATCAGTTATTGTATGAAGCTCCTCTATAACAGTACAACTGATCTTAAATGTAAACCAGAAAGAACATCGAAAATTGAACAGGACGTAGTAGGAAGGACTTTCAACTGGCTATTATGTAAAGTAAAAGGACACAAGTGCAACTGACATTTTATTGTGGCAACGTTTCGCTCTCCAGGAGCTTTATCAAGCCCTGGAGAGCGAAACGTTGCCACACTAAAATGTCATATTAGTTGCACTTGTGTCCTTTTACTTTACATATTGTCGGTAATTCTACCAACATAAATACAACTGGCTATTATTTCATGTGCTTTTTCAATAGCATTTAGGAAAAATTGCACTACGCAGTGGAATGTAGATAAATGGTTGAGAGAAACGACAAGTTGATAAATTAGACATGTGCAACACTTGAATATTTTTATTTTGGAAATGTTTCGCCAACCAGTGGCTTCCTTAGTCCAGTACAGTGAAGAATGGTTGAAGATCAGGAGTTTGAGGTAATCAGTCTGTGGAAGCCAGTGATTGGCAAAACGTAGATACCTAAGTTTTGCCCAAGTGTCTAATTTATCAAGTATACAGAGGAGCTTCATAAGAGAGAACAAATAAAGCCGTCTACAGGGATTTATCATATACAATATCTGTTGGATTAATGGAGTCTCGAGTTATTAGGAAAGTTGTAACTAGTATGATGGTCTAACAATAAAACTTGACGAGTTTTTATAAAGTTATGGTAATATTAAGATCTCTGTGAAGCGGTACTTGAAGGCAGCACCAGACACTCGTCAGTGTCACACACACACACACACACACACACACACACACACACACACACACACACACACTGATGTAATGGAGGCACGATCCATACATAGCTTTAAGAAGAGGTATGATAAAGCTCATGGAGCAGGAAGTGACCCAGTAGCGGCCAGTAAAGAGGCGGGGCCAGGAGCTGTGAATCGACCCCTGCAACCACAACGAGTACACACACACACACACACACACACACACACACACACACACACACACACACACACACACACACACAATACCTTGAGAACATCACCATACACTCCTCAGTGGAGGTCACTATGTGTACTGATTCACGAAGACAGTACCAAACACAATGAACAAACATTCTTTATATTAATCTTCAGTATATTTTCTTGCTAATGATGAGGTGCACATATGTGAGCATGCAGTGAGGTGTATTTTTATCAGTAGTAGTAATATTCATATGAAGCACTAAACCTTTATGAGTCATTCAGAACAAGGTATGTTGGAGGTTGGATCCTTCGTCCGCTAATTGGGAATAAACACGCTACCATTCAACGTACACTTATCCCAGGTGAAGTGTACTGCATACACTAGTGAGACTGGTGACTGGAGAAGGCTCAAGTGGTGAGTGTACACTAACACACACACCACACACACACACACACACACACACACACACACACACACACACACCAGGCCTAGTGTCTAATCGACATGTGCCTAGGACAAAATGGTAACTAACACACACATAGGTATGTACGTTCCAAAATCTAAAAGAAACAAATGTGACAACGCACTAGCTAATGAGAGTAATTAAAGAGAAATTAAAAAGAGTCTGAAGGATCCAGAGATGAAGATTAATAACGAGACTGGAAGGAGGAGGACAACAAGGAAGGGAGGTGACCAGAATAAGGTGACGACGGGGCATTATAAC